AGCATTCAATGATGCCATTGTTGAGTCAACTAATTTCACCCGAAAGCCCCCTAAAATTTCTGCCCAGTCCTGCTACTTGAATGATATGCCAGATGTACTAAACAGGCTTCTTTTGTGCCAAGCACAGCAACATGTGAACGATTTTTCCCCAAAAGAAAATCCCCTTCCCGGTCAGAATTTCATCCAGATAAGAATGGAGAAGTTTTCCTTCCTGCTCCTTCGATTCCCCTCATCACTACTGTCAAAAATGAATGTCAGTCAGACCCCACTAGCCATCAGAAAATGGAAGGAACGAACATTTCAAAAACCTTCTACTGGTATATGACCAGCTTTACTCCAGCTCCACTGTCATACAGAAGAACATTCACCACAACAGGTCTCCTTACCTTGACATTGTCCAGGATAACGAGAGGTCCATTGACTCCGGAAACTGTTCGATAAGCTGCAAACACAAAGATCAGATTAGTAAAAATTTACCACAATCAGATATTAATGGAGAGCACCAATCAATACAGAACTCAAAAGCAAGCCGGTCCAATTAGGAAGCCAGCACAAGTGAGGGACCAAGAGAAAGCTGGACCTTCGCCAAGCAGGTATTCTGCACAGGTTGGGAAACAAACATCAACCTTCATTTTATGAAGACAACCTTTTTTTTTTTTACAGGCCATTAACATATCACAGATTCCCCTATCAACGCTAAGCAATGTGGACGGATGAATCCCCCCACTGACTCCATTGTATTCCCGAATAGCCCAACAGTGCTTGCACCTTAGTGGCTGCAAACAACGTCCAGCCGAATGTTTTCTAACCGGCCGAAACGCGCATAGTGCATGGCGAGTTTTAGAAAATAAATCTCCTGACAAAGTTTTCTCCAGAGTCCTTTTTTAAGGCCGCCACTTGTGAATTTTTTACCAATGTCTTAATAGGTTCACATTTGTGGCAAGTGACATCAGTGGAACATATTCCATACACTCAGTGAACTCGTGCTGGTCACATTGCACATTTCATACAGTATGTGGCATTGTCTCCCGTCGACCAGAAACCACAATATTGAAAGTCGTTAAGTGCTAATGAGTGATTCAGCGCAGCAATTACCTAGAACAAGGGACAGGGCCGGCTAGAAATAATTGCTGTTTTGAAGAGCCAAACCCCACATGGGTCCAGATTGTCATTATCTATAGATCTCTTCCTGGCTCCGACACAATCGACTCATTCAGAAATATTTGCTTTTCATTCGCTCATTTTCAGTGTATAAAGGAATATTTTCCTGGCAAAGTCAATAGGCCGGTTAAAATAAAAATCCCACGACTGCCGGATCCTAGGACAACAAGCTTGTAGAACAGCTCCCCACAGCGGCCAAAAAGAACACTACCCATCCCATGTGGTTTATGTGACAGAGCTTAAAAGGAGAACTATGGGATTAAGTCTTTTCCCCATAGTTCTCCTTAGGGTAACGGGAGGACACAAACTAGCGTCCTCCCGTCATCCTAGGCTCAGTATACCCCGAGCTGTAGCTCGCAGTATACCGCGAGCAGCTGCTCGCCGTATACTGAGACGCCGCAGCTGAAGCGGATCCCGACAATTGTGCCGGGATCCGCCCAGCTGTGTGACTGACAGCTGGCTCTGCCTATCTAGAGGCAGAGCCAGCTGTACCCGCCCCCTGTCCTTTCCGCCAGTCAGCGCTGGCGGATCGGAGAGGGGGGAATCCAGCCCCTCCCCTATCACGGCAGAGAGCCGTGACAGGATCGAGAGGTGAGAGAACGCCGGTATCTGTTCGCTCACCTCCCGATCTACTGAGCCGACCTGTGACAGTCTCATTGTCACAGGTCGGCTAGAACTATGAGGTGAGTGAAAATCACTCACCTCATAGTTCTCCCTTAAGGAAACAGTTTCATTCAGTTAGCGTTAATATGTACTTTAAAGTGTACATGTAGATCTTAAATACCCCAATTTAATCAGTATCTGAAGTAGAGCTGAAGCCAAAACCTTTTTTTAGTGTTGGATAGAGTAAGGGAGGGTTATAACTAGGGATGCACAGATACCGGTTACTGAGTACCGGTGCCGTGTGCCCAGATTATCAGGGAAGTCAGGAGGCGGATGATGACACGTACTGATTGCCTGGGAAGCCAGTGTTCTAGCGAAAGAAGACCGGCTTCACTTGTCAAGGCTGCCTGGCTTCCTGACCAATCAGGAAGCCGGGCATCGAGTCATGAGGTGCCGTCCGGCTTCCGGATTGGTCAGGCTTACTGCCTAGCAATAAGTAAAGCTGGCTTCCTAGACAATCAGCGAGGCGGCTCATAATCCACCGCCCGGCTTCCTGATTGTAAAGGGCGCCGGCTCCATGCTCCCTCGGCACTTGCCTATCTCGCACTGACCGAAAGTTCTGAAATCGGAGGCAGGTATCGGAGCATTTGGGTGAGTACGAGTACTCGCCCAAACACTATCGGCACCAATACCGATGGTAGTATCGGTGCATCCCTAGTTATAACCCAGTTTTTTTTTTTGCCCTGTGTCCCACTGAGGAGATTTCTCTTCACTTCCTGTCTGATAGCCCCCACAGGAAACGAGAGGAAATTCCTCAGAAAAAAGAGAAGGAAATCCCTGGTGGTCAGCAGAACTAGGGTCCCCCCCATTGAAGATTTCCCATCTATACCTGTTCTGGTGACAACCCAAAATTTTAGATTTGTTTTCACATTAGTGATAACTGTCTCATCATGTTAGTGAATAGGGTTGAGCAAGCGCAGAAACACCATCAGTCACCTCAGATAATGTGAATGGAGCCTAAATGCTGCTTAAAGTGGTGGTAAACCACCTGGCATATGTTTAGATTTTGTGCTCCCAGGAAGTGTTTGCCATAATCTGCAAGTATACACGGCATATTAGCAGATTATGGCCTACTTACCTTGCAGACGATCCCCTCCTGCGCTGTGATGTCAGCGCTCCACCTCTGCCACTGGAGCTTCCAGTTTCTCAGGGTGGTCTTCTGGGTTCGGCCTTTTCATTCACCGGGACGTGACGATGTGCATGCACTGTGGTGAAATGCATTAGCAAAATTGATGCAGGTCTGATTTCAGGTCCGTTGTTCTTAATGCAGCACATGTTGAACAGTGGATCACATGTTTGAAGGGGTCCCTTCAGCTTTAAGCTCCATGTCAAATATACATAGAAGGAAGAGAAGCGAGCTAAGCTGTATTAAAGCGAAAGTAAACTTAGGAGTAAAATCATAATACATTCAAGTACCTTAACTATTAACAATGCAGTATCTTTTTTATTATTCGGCTGTAGATCCTCTAATCATCTCTGAATTGGTGCCGGCACTGTCCTTCCTTCTGGAGGGGGGCTACTTGTGTTCCCCATGGTCCCTGTATGTGCTGTAAAGCCTTGGTTCTCAACTGGTGGGTCATGACCCAAAAGTGGGTCCCGACCCCATGTTTAGTGGGTTGCTGCATGCCTTTCACTTTTCTAGGTTAGAGGCTCCTCAGCCTCCTCCTAGTGCTGCACCGTCCATTCTTACACCAAGTAGCCATTCAAAATATGCTACCCAGTGCCGAGTGTCAACTTGGGGTGGGGTGGGCTGGGGGTATGGCCGCGAGGGAGATCCATCCATATGTGCATTGCTTAAAGCTTCCTCACATGTCCTGTAGGTGCCTGGACTGGAGGGACATCACATTCTGGCTCCCGGCACCTCTACAGGCATGCATGGGAGCTGTACAAGCAATGCACATATGGATGGAGCTCCCGCACAGCAGCCCACACTGCTGTGCATTCCATTGTAGCGCAACTTGGGTCGCGACTTAATGACCGAGGACAAATGTGGGTCCTGAGGTTACACCGTTTGAGAACCACTGATGTAAAGTAGTCACCGCTCCAAACTCACTCCTGTGAGTGACTACAATCTCAATACAAATTAGTAAACTAAACATGAGATTGTAGTCCATCGTGGGAGTGAGCTTGGAGCAAACAATCACTTTACAATAACATTATATTTGACCTATGCATCATGTGCTTGTCAATTTCCTTTCCCACTCATCTTTGGGTCTCCGTAACCCAGGTATTCGGAGATGGTCCACTTGACTCTGTCTACTTTACAATACACACAGCAACCAAAATTAGCCCCCCCCC